ATGACCTGGTGAATTACAGCCAGTTGATTTTAGACTTGGTCAGGGGGAGGCTGCCTTGGGAGAAGAAAGAAAACTGGTAAAAAATTAGAAGTATCATGTTGTTGGGTAGTCCAAGAGCTGCATCTCTTTTGACAGCAGAACCAAGAGAAGATGAGGGAGAGGCTTGAGCAAAGCTCCTACTTCAGGCAGAGTAAGAGCTTTTCAGTGGGGCAGATAAGAGTGGAACTGGTCTCTAGAGCATTTCTAGGCTCCAGAAACTGAAGATAGGTTCATTCAGAATGAATGCTGGCCGTCAGAGCCATGTGCAGAGGATGGTGAGGGGTTCTCCATAGCTTTGAGAAAGTTGGGTAAATATGCTTGAAGTGTGGGCTAGTGGGTCTGGCAATTGACCATTAACCCAGACTGCAGGCTCTCAGCACCTCTGTTCTTGTTGCTAAAAATTCCTTGTTGCTTTGATAATCAGTGCAAATGATGCAACTTCATTTATATTACCACTTGCAGAAGAGCATTTTCTTGGCCTCTGTGTCTACTTGACCCCTGAGAAATGCAGAACTGGCTGATAAGATGGTTATTTTCTAGTGGAAACACACCTTCCACATCTAATCCAGTCATGCCTGAGCAGAAACCTTTCAAAAGCCTCTGCAGATGGATTGCAGTGGTTTTGTTGTACCTTGTTTGTGTGACAGTGAGAGCTTGTGGATGACTGGTAGAGAATAAACCACATTCCAGCCTTGGTGGGGGCAGAGATTCCAGTTAACAATGTGTTCACAGGCACCATGAGGTCTTGTGACTGGTGCATCATCTCTTGACATTTTTTTTGCCTCATGTCCTTCTTCCTCTCCATTTCTGGTCTTAGCAGAGTTCAAAAGAGCAGTAATCTCTGTAGCAAGTATTGCATACCCAGACTTCATGTTGCATGTAGGTGACCTTTGCAATCCTCCAGTCCCCTTTTCCATCAGAGCTGGAATCATCAATGAGCTATTGTGCTCATAAATCTGGTAGTGTCACAGAGGCAGCTTCTGTATCATGTGGATGCAATGGCATTACCTCTCTTTTGTTCAGTATATAAAAGTGTTGTTATTGTGGGAGACTCAGCCTGCTTCTAGTGGTTTGTATTTTCCACTGAGGTGCTTTTTGGCTAAGGCTCTGAGTTTCCATATCTTATTTTAGAGAGTGTCGTGATCTGCCTTGGTAAATCTGAGAACAGGAGATGGAAAACTGAATGGAGACAAAAAATAGTTTACAACTGGCTGTGCCTATTAGCCTTCAGTATTCTGCAAATGGACAGAATGAGGGATTGCAGCTGGATTGTCTTGTCCCTGGAGCTATTTGGTGAGCCCAGCCACTTTTTATCCCTTCTTCCTAATCTCCTATCTTTGGTCTGTTATGTCTGTACCAGTTTGTTCCTGGAGTGGTGTCTATAGAGGTGGTGTCTGTTTCTGCCTCTCTTGCTGGGTGAGAACTGTGCAAGAGACTGACTTGAAAGTCCTGGCCTATCTAAATTCTTTTGTACTTTTAAAATACTTTCCTCTAAAGCCTTTAGCGATGTCCTTTGCAATTATACAAACTGGAAAACATTCCAAGATTGCTTAAAAATGTCGTGGCCCTCCTAGATGTGTTCTTCAGTCATGTTCTCCTATCTGCCCATTTATGTTGCTTGTTTCTTTATGCTTGTGTCATGTCAGCTTCTTTTGGCAGCCTTTGGCACTGATCTGTGCCTGGGACTCCAGGTGCACAGTAATACCAAGTAATAACAGTGGAAGCTTAACACAAGGATACACAATTTCCAGCCTGTTCCTTCTGATTTCCACCTCGGTACCAGGAGGTGATGAGGTGCTGCAGGAACATTGCCTAAGCAGTTTTCAGACTCATTTTCTGACTGTTTATCATTGTGCTGATCAGGACAGGAGTTATTTCATTGTGACAAGCCCACCCTTAAGCACTGCATGTTTAGCCACAGCAGACAACAGAGGATGCCCCCAGCCTCCAGCTACGAGTCTGAGCTGTCAAATCTGGCAGGAAAAGCGTGCCCTCCCTCCCAATGCCTGCTGCTCCTCGGCTCTCCTCCCAGCCAGAAGAAGGGACAGCGTTCCCCGACGGCAAGGGATTGCTCTGGAAGCCTCTGTGAACATCTGGGTGCAATCAGGCTGACCATGCATCGCACAGAGCCTCGGCAGGGCTGCGCTGCCGGGGCCGTGTCTGGAGCAGCCCTGGGCTCGCAGGGCTGGGCTGCACTCTGCAGCCTGCCCGGGACACGCTGCACAGCAAAACCACCGCACTGGGAAGGGAGCTCAGGGCTATAGCACTGCAGAGCCAAACCACAAGGCTGGGGTTTCAGTCATTATAAGCCAGGAAAGCAGTTTTGGTTCTTTAGCGCTGCGCGGGGCTTTGCCTGGTCTATAGGTGGAAGTGAGAGCTGCCTGCTGCGACTCCGTGTTCCTCCCTGTAATTGTTTTAGAAATTACGGCGGGGAAAATGCACCAAAATGAAAGAATCCCCCAGGTGTCCCTCAAAACTAATCTCAGTGGAGCTCCCCAGTGAAGTTACAGGGAAGAGCACAGAGCAAACAGAAATGACACACAAGGGAGAAGCCAGAGCAATTTCAGAGCAGTGTGATAGCTGAAGGAAATGCTTAGGGAAATAGTCATGAAGAACAACAGGAGAAACAGCTAAATAGAAGGGAGTAAAGCAGACTGGTTGTATTTCCAGCTAGGGATAGGCACCTCCATTTATTTTGCACTGGCATTGAATTAGCTGAGGGGAGCCCAGGTGTGGTCCTCATGGTTCACGCAGCACTGGGAAGATGGACAGCAGTGCTATGTCTGGTTATTTCAGCTCCAGCAGCAGCAAGCAATAAAACTCTCCAATGTTATAACTTTTCTTCTTTTTCTTTTCTATTTAATGTTTTATGTGTAATGTAAAAGCCATATAAAACCTACTTAAATCCAAGAACTTATGTAGAGTCCCCTACGGAGTGTATGTCCAAACAAAAGGCATCTTCTGTCCACTTTAAATAGCTTGCAGACCTTTGGCTTGAGTCATTCACAAAATTTGGGCAATGCCATATTTAGAGGTGTATGTGAAATCGTAATTGAACTTATAAATTTATTTTAGTTTCAAGGTCACACACTATTTTTCCAGGGAGTGCCTGCTTAAACCCCTGATAAGATGGTTTCACTGAATGAGTAGCTGTTCACAATTTTTGTTTATCATCTTCATTTTTGTGAGACCTGGAGCATGCTTAATGCAAGTGGAGTCTGTGACCCCTTTTTATTTTTCCCCTTCCTTTCCTGGAACTGAAAGACCTCTACTTTACGTGTGCCCTTAGGAAATTCCAAAGGTTTAATATTTATCCAATTTTTAATGAATTTTCACAAGGAGGCAAAACCCGGCTGGCATACCAAATCCCTCAAATCCCTTGGTCAAATGGATGTTATACTTTATTAATATTTGTAAAGGTTTTTTTCTGGTTTTTTTTAAATGCTGGGATCACTCAGTGGCTGAAAATGTCTTATTATAATGGAAAGTGTTAGACTACTTTGACACCAGGCATTCTTTCTAATTCTACTATGATGAAAGAACGTGAGTGATAATTAAAAAATTTTTTCCATTTAAAGTCCAAAGGGCACTTGGCCATTGATGAAATGTGAACTTAAACCCATGGGATGCTTGCCCTGGTTGTCAAAATGTATTGTATTTGGGCAGTTTTGAGGGGGAACAGATAGCAATGGGATTTTGCTTTCCTGGAGTGTTGGTTTGGATGACAGTGTGCACCCTCCTCAGGTTTGCTCTGTAAATGCCTTTTGTAGCACGAGCCATCTGCCAAAGTTTCAGTTTCAGGGTATGAAATTCAGCAGCTAAAGATATCCATGGGATTGTTCCATAAAAAACACTCTGTAAGGTGTTTAGCAACACGTGGTGTGAGAGTTCGCAGGAGCTGAGCAAGGACAGGGAGTGTGTGAAATGCAGCAGGCATTGGCTGAGGCAGAATTCCAGTCTGTAATTACAGGGTTGATCACTACTGGGCAGAGGAAGCTCCTGAGGATTTTGCAGTGGATAATCAACATTTTCATCAGTGCCTTGAGAGCAGCTGTAAAGTCACTGCTAAGCTGCAAGCAACCCAAAATTGGTGTGTATAATGAATTCCAGAGTGTGTCCTTTTTATGTAGTGTAGTTTCTGTTTCTTGTCATGGAGATCTCAGGGAAGATGGCTCAATGCTTCAAGGAGGTGTTCAATCAGATTATCCTGCCCAAGAAGCTGGTCAGCAGATTAGTATTCCTTCCATCCTCCCGGTGCCTTGCTCTGAATTAACCCAAACAGAAGTGAAACATTGGAACACAACTGCTCCTTAAGTCCTGTGAGCACAGAGCCTCTGGTTATTTTGGGGGCACTCTGTGCTGTGCCTGCTGACACCTGGAAAGGTGTCAGTGATGGCAAGCAATGATGCAAAGCCATCAATGAGCAGGGATGGGAAGCCATGTGGCAGAGAGGCACCAGCCCCTCCCCAGGCAAGGCTGTCTAGAGTGCAGCACACATCAAGGCCATTGTTCTTTCATGTGTGCAGAGTGAAAACTTGAATTGGGTAAAAATAATAGACATACTTAGTTGTCTCTTCCCTTGTACTGTGAACATTCAGGACTGTTCACAAGACAAGATGATACCTCTATAAACTTACAGCTTAATTCACATAAAACCTAACAGGAGAGGACAAATATAGGATAACGTGGGAGGACCTGGCCTGTCTCCCTCAGTTACTGTCCAGACTAGCTCAACTACATCAGTCCATGCTGCCACTTCTCCATGAGACACACATTCCCTACAATGTCATACTACTGCCCTGTGGCAGTGAGCAGAGACAATGGGAACTGCTACAGAAGTGCATTATAATATATTTTTAAAATAAAATAACAGAAATCTGCTATATTTTGTATATAATTCTGTTTGTTTTTTGTTGTTTTATCTTTTTCCTTTTTGTTTCTGTTTTTGTTTTTGTTACCAGAGTGCCTCTGATGGCTTTTGGAAGTCAGTGGCAACCCGTGTGCCAAGGGAGCCCCATGAGATCCGTATCCTGAACCCCTACTTCATCCAGGAGGCAGCGTTCAGCTTCATTGGACTGCCCTTCAACAACGGCCTCATGGGCAGAGGGGTAGGTACAGAGCAAAGGGAGCCAAACCTCACAGAAGGATGTGAGACCAAGCAGCACAGGAGGCTTACACTGTTCTTATTTTTCCTTTGGGCCTCTACTGTTGGACATTGAAAGGGAGGAACTTTGGTTCTGTTGCAGTCACAGCTCTCAGACTCCTTCAAACCCTTCCTGATCTAAGGATTCTGGGGGGATCATCAACATTTTAGCAGTGCCTTGAAAGCCACTGTGAAGTTGCATCCCAGGCTGATAGTAGAAGAGGGTAAAAGTTTGCTTTATGAGGCCTTTGGTAAGAAATTCTGGTCTTATCCCAACAAGTTTTATATGTAAAAGCTCTCAAAAGAAAACAATGCAAACCACAGTTTTAGCTCATATTTATTAACAAAATTCCTTAATGCTCATTCTTGTACCTCTTACCCCCAGTGCAGCTTTTTGGAGTGTTAGTGTTGGAGTAGGTGGTGACTTGGGTTTTCTGGATTATCTCACATTGCAACACTGTCCTCAGAACCTATTTATATTTGCTCTACGTAATATATCAACCATTAGAGTAAGTATTACTTGGGTGGGTAAATTGCTCATGTACACATGTGATATAGTTGTTGATAGAGACCACACGTGACATTTTTGGGCACATTGGCACAGCTGACAAACCCAGAGAGAAGCACTTTTGCTGGACAAGGTCTGCTTGGTCTGCCCCTGGCATTGTCCTCCCACTGCTATCAGGCAGGAGATTTGCTGTGTCACCGCAGGGATTTGGACAGAATAGTGCCTCATTTGCCATGCTCAAATAATTATATCATGTAGACTTCTGGAATATTAGAGACTTTTGTTTTGTGCAAGTCAGATGGGTGGATGCCTCAAGATAAGACATTTCCTTCTTGAAATGCAAAATGCAAGATGTGCAGACAGATTCAGCCGCATGGAATGGTGCTTTTGAAAAATACACTGCTGTGTACAGAAGCTGTCATGCGATTCTGGGAACTCTGGATTTTTGTTCTGTGCACTGAAGGTATCTTATTGCAAATATTCCAGTCAGCTAGGAATTAAGTTACTTCATCTCTCTGCATTCTCCAGAACTTACCCTTAGAACAATGTGGTCTTGATGTGTCTTCCAGAAAATCAGGAGTGGTGTCCCAATAAAGGACAAAAATCATCATACTTTACTTTTTCCCCCATTTATTTTTCTTTTTAAACACGTTATTTTAATACACAAGTTATTGCTTAAGCTGGAAGGAGAAGAGAGAATCCGGAAATGAGAATGCTGTGAACTGAAGTTTATGAGGTTTTGATAGGTTGTTTAACACACATCAGATTGGGAAATGAAGGCATCTTAATTGAAACCTGATGTTTCACTTCACGAAAGTCTTATCTGAGCATTTAGGAATAGTTTATGGCTCTTTAAGGCAAGCAGTGTTTGCCTGTGACCCCTAGACTGTGTGAATTGCAGTTTGTTCCTCCAGGTGGGACAGCAGGAGCTCTGCAGGTGCCTGTGTGGGGCTGAGATGTCAGTGTAGCCTGGGCGGCCTGTGCAAGGACCCTGGTACAGGGATGCTGCCAGAGTTTAAAAACAGAGTTTCTAGCCTGTGGCTACAATTTTGCTGCAAACATCAGCTATGGATTGCTGTCATGGAGCTGCTGGGGCTTCACACTTTAGTGAATTCTGCTGGGCAGGCTGCACACTGCAGGATCAAGGCTGGGGATGCCTTCGTAATCAAGGCCAACACAAAATCCTCATAAAGAGCAGTAATATTCCACTCTCCTTTGGTTCTGTTGCCTAAATAAACTTCAGTGCTTCTCTTGCACACCACATATGGTAACAATGTGCTGCCAATTAACTTTGTAATTTGGGGGCTTTTCCAGCAAGGTTGAGCAGAGCTAGTAAAATAGTTTGGGGCTGATCTCAAAGCGTTTTTCCCAGGATTCAATAAAGAATGAATGTAGTAACATCCTCTGCTTTGATAATATAATTTGGGCCAGATGATCCTGGAGTATAGTAATGGGGTACAACTCAGATGTGCATTTTGATTGCCCTCATGGCAGTGGTAGCCAAAAGCCTCAGCAAGGAACAAAACTCACACCCACAATGAATAGTGATTTCTCTCTGGGACTGGTAAAGCTTTTTAGAAGTTGTCTTCAATCCTACTGAAGTCTCAATAGTAGAAGAGCTGTTCCATACTGTATGTGGACTTCTCTTTCATGGGGTAAACTGATCATAAAGAACAAACTTTGGGCTCCTTGCAATATCTAGGGGAAAATAATTGTTAATGCCTGAAGATGGGTAAGCACAAAAAAAGTATCTACTAAAGGCCCTCTCTCTGATTAAATAATTCTGTTAATGCATGGGTGGGGGTTGGCTTTCTCACTAGCCAAAAGTGATTTTTGTTCAGGTAGAAGTTTTGTACATAGAGATCTTTGGGGCTTGAAACCAGACATCACTGGTAGTGCAGCTGTTGGTTCAAGCTTGCAGCAGCACCCCTTACACTGCAGGCAGTTCACTGGGGGACAAGCACGAGCATCAGCTCAGAGTGTCACTGCTGGGTGCACAGCCATCCCTGGGGTGGTCACTGCTGTGGTGCCTTTGGCTGTGTAGTGAACTGTCCTGTCCAGCCAGCAGCCCTCAGAGCCATGGGAGCAGTGTCCTTCTGGCTCCTGGGAGCCCTGAGCCTGGTGTGAGGCAGAAGGGAGAACACTTCAGGTGACACAAATTATCAGAAGTCTGAGGACCCCAGTGCAGACTGCAATGTTTGTTTCTCTCTCTTTGCTGGTGCTGTGCATCCATGGATCAGTTTATGATTTAACTCAACTCTGTAAGCCTTTTGTTTGTTCATGTACTGGAAATGGTTGAATCTATAAACTAAAAAAATAAAGCATCCTTCTTTGGACTTCACCCAGCCTCAGCACTAAGCTGGTGAAGGAGGAGCCATGTGCAGGAGGTGCTGCCAGGCTGATTCAGGCACCCAGCCATGGATTAGCACCTCTGCAGAGTGCTGACATCTCAGGGATTAACCTCTGATGCTGGAGTGTTAGCACGTCCTGGCCACAGCTTCTCATAGCTCTAAGATGGTTTTTCCTGTGGGCAGGCTCTTAGATGTTTTTTCCTGTGGGCAGGCAGCCTTTCTGGAGGTGCCAGCAGGAATCCTCTGCTCCTTAGGCACTTTTCGGCTCCCTTGTCTCATCATCATGACCTTTTCTCTCATGAGTTGCCCAAGTGTTAGCAAACTTTGTCTCCTGGGCTGTTCTTACTGGACTGTGGCTTTCTGAAGGCTGTGTCTTGGAACCTGCTGGGTCTTTGTGGGGTAGAACAGAGGTGGGCATGGCAGGAGCAGAACTTCCACTTAATCCTTTCCAGTTATGCGGCTCTCCCTTTTTTGCACCCTGCTGGCATCTTCTAAGGCAGGTAGAGGGACAGGTGAGGGCCACTGCACTGCAGTCAGTTAAAGGTAGGGACTTAGTGTCACTGTAAAGCTTTGGGTTTGCAGGGCACCACATCTGCTTTGTGGGCTGGGCTGTTCCTCCCATTGCCACTGCAGTGGGACCAGTCCATGAGCTGCTGGGGAAGGGATGCTCACACAAACTGGTGCTGGGGGGCAGGTAAATGCTCATAGCAGCTTCTATGAGCTTACCAAGGTACAATCCCAGCCATCTGCTTCTGCTCCTGAGAGATGCCAAGGAACTGAAGGGAGTTTGCTTCTCAGTGAAGAGCAGGCCATGAACTCCCATTTAGCATGGAGTAAGGGTGTATGTGCTTATCACAGAGCAGGTAGAGTGCAGTAAAGTCATGCCTTTGGTTGCATTCTGTTAAGTCCTTACATCCTTTAAAAATACTCCCTGCACTGCACAGGAATCTGCTCTATGGCAAATGGTGAATCAGAGCTTGTGCATCAGGTTAGATGTGATCAAAAATACTTGGACTGGGCTTGGGTGTTGAGGAACTGAGCAGGGAAGTGGCAGAAGGGAGCCTGCTGGGCTGGCCTGTCTGCAGCCACCAGCTGCTGGCCCTGCCCTGTGCTCAGCTGCAGACAGCCATTCCTGGAGGCTCTGCCCCACTCCCAGCCAGGGACAGCCAGGGAAGGGCACTGAGATGCTCTGCTGTGTTTTTTGAAGCCCACTCTTGCAGCTGTTTCAGGGCATGGGTGGAGGTAGCTCTGGGAGCAGCAGTGTGCATTGTAAGCTCCTGTGACAGACACCACTCCACAGAATGCGGGCACTTGCCTGCTCACAATAAATGACACTAAATTGCTTTCTATGCCATATTTCCACACTTTTCAGCTGAAGGAAACAAAGGGTAGGTTTGGGTTTGCTCTGATGCAAACATAAAGAAACAAAAGGGATAGTTCATGTATGTTGAGATGACTATCATAGTTTTGTTCTGGATTTCTTTTGTTTTGAAAACTTCAATGCTATTAGGTGATCAGGTTTGTAACTGATAAAACTAAGGTAAGAATTTTTCCCAGGTAAGCAAATTTTTTTATTTTTTCTTCGAATCATTTAGTATAGTAGTCAAACCAATTTGAATATCCAGGTGTATTATTGTTTGTAGGGAGTTTATTCTTCAGTAACACTTACCCTTTTATTGAAAAAGGTAACAATTGGAATAGTCTGAACAGTCCAATAGGTCTTACCCTGAACTAAGTGAAATCCCATAAATAACTGGAATTCATTTAACATATTAAGGGAGTCAAATATTTCTAAAAACAGATTTACAGCAGTCATTTCCTTCCAGTCCAGCAGGCAGTGACACAGGAATGACCCAGGCATGGAATGAAAAGCAGCAAGAGCTTTTCACATGCACCAAGCAAAGAGCAGTTCCAGCCCTAGTTCAGTCACCAGCACTGGATCTTCAGCACGAGCCCACGAGGTAATGGTCAGCCTCAACAGAGTCCAGAGGAGTTCCAGAGTTCATTTCTGCTGACTGACTTCTTTCCTTATGTGAGTAGAAGTCAGTCTTTAAAGCCTCTTCAGGGGGCAGAATGGAAGATGAAACATCCATGTCTTGACAGTGTAGGAGCAGTCAGGAGAACCTGTCCCATGTCTGTACTGCTAAAGGCATTTCTGGTCCCCAGAAACCATTGGCACACAGCTTGCAAGGCCAAGATCATGACTTGTGGCAGAGAATTGTGAAGGAGAGAAGGCTGCCTGTGATTTCTGGGCTTTTTTGTTCCCAGCTCACACTGCTTGCTGCGCACCAGTTCAGGTCAGAGACTCATCATGGCCACATCTGCAGCAGAGGTCATGTTGGACCTTTCCAGGTCTAACCTGCACTGGGCAGTCTCTGTGTGGCTGGAGGGCGTCCCAAGGGGCTCCTGCCTCAGCACTGGCTGCTATGGGGCTGCAGCTCTCCAACCATTTGGTTAAAGCAGCACTCCTTGGTGATACAGGAACACCCAAGCACACAGAGAGCCATGAGCAGGAACACAGGCTTTGAACAGGTCTCACACTAGATTATTAGTCTGAGACAAGATAGTACAATTTGGGGGGGTTTGTCTTAGCAAAAGCCTCAAATAGCGAGAGTCCTGCTCAGTTGTTTGAGAGAGTTTTATTTTCATGACTCAGCAGAGGAGGTGTGGTGGTTGCTTTGGTATGTCTTTGGGGCACGGCTCAAGGGTGTGTGTGGTGAGATAGCACTGACACATTGTGCAGGGCATTGCAAGCCAGATTTGGCACAGCCATGTCCATGATGCTTAACTTCTTTTGGAGTCACTTGTCCCCCAGCTTGCCCTGTAGGTTGTATATGGTCCATTAGGTCCAGATTAAGGGTTAGTAGCTAATGAACGTAAATGTACAATCAGGAGAGCTTGGAAGCTCTGTAGATGCAGGCAGGGAGTAGTTATAGCCACTTCCTCTCTAATAATGTGTCTCCTCTTATTTGGCACTTCTTTGCTAAGAGGAAAGGAGGGGAGAGCCCTTTCCCTTGGACCTGAGAGTGCTGCTCTGCTGCATTCTCTGCAGCACAGCCTGGGAAATGTCCCTAGATCCTACAGGGTGTTGTCTTTCCCATGCCACAAGCTGGGCATGAGGCAGTGCTTCATTTTCAACAGGCAGAAGGAGTAACAGAATCTCAGCAGGCTGCCACAGGAGAACAGGGCTCAGTTTCTGTAGCTTAAACTGAATCAAGATTAAAGTACTGACACTAAAGTAATGACAATTAATCAACAATTGTACTTTTTTAATCATGTTGTTCAAGGCAGCTCCATTTTCTTCAAGACTGTCTAATTCCCCAGTTACTGTTCAATCCCTCTGATGGTTGCTTCTTTTTTAAAGATGAGCACTTTGGAGCAAGTGCCCAGTTACGTGTGTGTGATCTGGTCATGTGTGGGTGCACACACACTTTGCACCATGCTCTTCTCTTAGGCAGGTGCTGTTATCCACACATTTGCTGTGGGTGGGTTCTGCAAGCACCCCTGTGCTGCCCTAATAGTTGCTGCCCTCAGTGAATAGCAGGGGTGATCATTTTGACAATATTTTCAAGAGGCACCTGCCTAGCCCACAGGATTCTTACTGCAGCAGTGAGATTGAGGCTGCATCTCACCACTGAAGGATGCAGAATGCTGCCTTCAAGGGGAACACATATTAAACTACAGCTACTGCAGTGTTGGAGGTTGCTAACATCAGTTAGGCATAATTAAGAAACTGTCATCAGATCATCAGTTTCCAGATGTGATTTTTAGGGTAATGCAAAACAATTTGCTAATGACGTCCTGCGAATTTCTGGTAGTTATAGAGGCCAAATCAGACACATCCACTACAATTCAAGAGGTTAGGAAGGTAGGTAGTCTCTGGTATTTTAATAATTTTTGAGAGCAGAACAGGTGGTACTAAGATAGTGGCATGTCAGGAACTACTGAAGAATTACCTTGTATTTTTCCATAAATATCATTGGATGTATTGTAGAAAGAGTAAAGTCAGACAGATATTTGGTGACCAAATGAAAGTTCACTTTCAATTTCTGTCTACTGTTATTCTCCAGACAGAGTATGCCTGAAAGAAAGTTTGGCAGTCCTCCCATAAGGTTGGGTAATGTGATTAATCCTCTGTGGTTTGCAAGACTCACATTAGAAAGTTAGCTCTTAAATGTTAAATTGGCCAGTGAAATTCCCTCCAGGCAAAGACCCCGTGTCTCCCTTGAGCGGTACCGTGGGAATGGGCCCAGTGCGAGTGTGGGTGTTGTTAGCACCACGGTGCTCCCAATGACGACACAGTCCCCGGGATGTAACCATTCACTCACTGTGTTTTGGACACTGTAACTACAGCTCTGATGAGGGAAAGGGTTTTGTGGCACGTCCACTTACCAGCTGATGCAATCCCAGTGACATACAAATGTCATCTTCTATGCGAAACATTAAGCTGAGAAATCAGAATTAAACTGTCGTGTCTGGAAAGACAGGATGTTCTTGGATATTTTGAAATTTGGGGCAATGTTCTTATCCTTTCCTAATAAACTTTTTCCATTTTTTTGAAACCCCTACTTGATATTTTTTGGCTCCCAGTGAATTAACAGTTACCTAAAGTGACTAAAATAAAACCAGTATTGTTTTTGTGAGTATCAACTGAAATTAAGCAGTGAGAACTAAATTACTCTGCTGCTTTTCCTGACATCTAGAGCTGGAATAGCAGGATGTAGAAATATCTTGTAATTTCAGGTGTGCTCTGTTACTGTTGTGCTGCAAATGTTTGAACTTAATGTCTCATTGATTTAGCCATAAGCAGTTTTTGCCTGTTTGTTTTCAGATTAGAGTAATTTCAGTGCACTGTAGTGGAGTTCTACAAAGCACACGAGCTGTGCTCCCAGATCTGCGCATCTTAGCTGGGATTTGGGTGGCATTCTTTGCTTGGAAAACATTTTCCTTCAGACTGGTCAGGCAATCAGAAGTGAGCATAGTCATGTGCCAACAAAACTCAGTTCCTTTGAACGAGAAGCAGAAACTCAAAACATTGTTCCCAACCTTTATGAACATGCAATAGCATTGCTCACCAGTTCAGGGTGAGCAATTTATTTTGTAAATTTCATTTACAAAACCATTGTAAATTAAAAATATAAGAGTGCAGTTGATTTCTTCATCTCAGCTAAGAGCTGTCACCCTTGGTGACTGTCTGAGCATGTCCTCTGAATTTGTGGTATTTCCAATACGGCCAGTCTTGGATACTCAACAAATGAAGATGTGGGTGGATTTCTCAGCCTCTCCCTAGGCCCTGGGGCAAAGTTGCCTCTGGATTTATCTATCTGGCTAAAAGGGAGCTAGAAAAGTCAGTGAGCTAGGATTTTACACTGGAAACACTTTGCTGTCCCAGCAGAACACACAGGAGCTGTGCAGCACTGCTGTCACAGTGCCAGAGCCCAGTGAAATGGGAAGGGCTAAGGCTGGACATCAGTGCACATTGCAGGTCAGCAGATGGGAAAGGACAATTGTGGTGTGCCCTGGATGCTACCACCCATCTGTGACTGGCTTCCCACTGCTCCTTGTTTTCCCAGTGTGTGGTTTGGAGGGAATGGCACAGGCCAGAGTGCCCTGCACTGTCATGGTGCCTCTGAGAAAAGGAAGGGATCTTGGAACACACTGCCTGATCTCCATCTCCCAGAGCTGTTTAACAGCCTTAAACTGCATTTGCCATCAGTAAAATAAGGTGTTTGTGCTGTTCCTCAGTTTTGCTCCTGTGTGGTGACCTGTTTGGGATAAGTATTCTTCCTTAGACTAGCTGGAAGCCAGTTATGTTCATTAACATTGTAATCCAGTCTACATCTGTTTTAATTTCAGAGAGCTAATGTATCCACTCTGATTCATCCTCCAGCTCATCTGCTGCCCTGTTCTCAGGACAGCAAAGCTGTGGAAGGGGAGTCTGACCATTTGCATTAATTTCTTTACAAGTTGGGAGGCTATCATCAACCCTTTAAGCTGGCAGGTTGAATATAGCCAAATACCACGTTCCTGATTTTCTGCTTAGCAGCAGCAGTGCCCCCATGAGCAGAGACAATAAGAGGAAATGTTTGATGATAAAGATGACAGCCTGCTAATCCCTTCCATTGCTGCTTTTTCTCCTCCCAGAACATCCCCACCCTGGGAAGCGTAGCAATAACCATGGCGCTGCACAACTGCGACGAGGTGGCGGTGGCTGGCTTTGGCTACGACATGAGCTCACCCAACGCACCGCTGCACTACTATGAGAACATCAAGATGTCTGCCATCAAAGAGGTAGGCAGCTCCTGCCAAGCACATCCTCCTCCCAGGCCCACTGGCCACCCCGACTCCAGAGCCTGACTGGGATGGTGATGTCAACTTACGGCTGTGCTGTGTGGATCAAAACTCAGCTCCGCTCATGCATCTGCTTGTAAAATTCTAGACATTCTCCCAAGCTCAGTGTGTGTTAAAAATGGTTATTACTGCTGGGAAAAGTTCTCTGGAATGTGTATATAATGTAATTTCTTCTTTGAGTGGCAGGGAAAGGATTCACATAAATGTTAACCCAAAGAGTGTGAAAGGGAGCAGTTCTGCTCTGGGGTTGAAATGATGCACCCTCTCCTGCTTTTTGATCCATTGGGTTGCTCTCTAATCCATAGGCTTCCTTTGTGAGCTGATCCCCTCCTCAGGCCCTGGGAAGCATGGGGAAGGTGAGATCAGCCTGTGTACCTGAGCTCCCAGCTGGCTGTTCAGCAGCACCTCTCTGCTCTGAGCACCACTGGGTCTGTGGAGACTGCTCTGTAAGGACAGGTCCACGTTAAACATGTTTTCTGCTACTACCACAGTGAGACAAACAGCATTTTTGGAGGAACTAAAGTTCTCATATCGGTATAATGCAGCAGTATAGATACCTTCAGGTCTGTCCATTTCCTGTACCAAACTAGAGCAAACTTGGACACTGGACAAAGCTTCTATCGTGGGAAGGTTTGCTGCCTTTATGGAAGAGCTCCTTCTTTCCCAGCACAGATGTGATCCAGGGCTTCCTAAGATTGCTTCTCCCTCTTCTCTAGGTAGGGAAACTTGGTCTATCCTACTCCACACTGTGGAAAGTTGTATTGTTCATGGACAGTAGCTGTCTCCTGGCACCTGGCATTTGTTCACCCCAAGGACTTTACCACTGATTCAGACCAGGAGGGAAGCTGGGAAGTTGTGTTTTTTCAAATCACAAGACTGTACGTGTCTTAGTACTCTCACAGGCTGCAGGCTGCATGACCCTAGGCAGAGTGAGAGGAATTATAAATCAATGATTAGTCAGCTTGAGAAATGAGAAGAGTGTGTCTAATTATCAGAGTAATGAGACTTTGAAGCATGAAGCTCTCAGCAGAGGCTAAGGGAACAGAGTTTAGGAAAAGGCTGTGGGGAGGTCCTCAATACACCAAGAGATTTGACACAGTGGTCCTGAGGTACCTTCTGGGCCTGTGGAGGTGGCAAGAGAGTCTGCTTAGCTCAGTGGGGTAACCATGGATTTAATTAGTCCTTGCTGGGGAAATGAGTACCTATTTGAGGATTTAAGGGGTATGTCCAAAGAAGTAAATTGAATTGAGGTGATGTCTGGCTTATGAAATCCCTGAATGGAAAATAGCTAAGAAATCTAACTTTTGTAGGAGTAGAGGAGGTATCACCATCTGCTTATAACCATTGCCAGAGACAGGACCCCGGGCTCCCCAGGCCCAGGTCTGAGGCAGTACAGCTGGTCCCTTGGTCTTACAGCAAAGTGATGGCTAGGCCAGAGGGAAAATGGCTACAGATGTCTGAATCCAGCAGGGAATACAGAGACTCTTCAAGAAAGTTTCAGGAAAAGCTTTTAGTGCCACTGTTTTCAGTCTGGTGAATCAGCTGCCTTTGGTGGAGAATCACTTTTGCCCAGTTGTTCTTCCTGTCTCATAAGGATGTCAGTCCCACGGTCAGATTTTGGACATGAGGACACCACTGGAGCTGACAAGAATGAAGTCTTCTTTTATTTCATCCTTAGACAAATCAATGGGAAAATTTGGCATAGAGCTGGATAACGGAGTCTGTGGTTGAAGTTGCAGGTCCATGTCACTTGCATCTCTGAATTTGGAGGCCAGCACCCCAAATGGGATCCAAGGTTGCTGGAAGGCTGGAGGAGGTCATTCTTGGACATTGTATGGGGTCTGAGGATTAGTTAGATGAGGATGAACACATGAAATGCAACCAGAGAAGTCTCTTAGAGAGAGCAGTTGGTGCTGATTTGCCAGGGCTCTGCTGTCTGGAAGCCATCAGTCATCGTGTCCTGTACAGAGGTGAGGGAGCGTTGAAAATTCTGGTGAAGCCTCAGTATTCAGATGTCAGCGGATTTGTTTCTGCAGCTGGGGCTGTTGTTGGGAGCTCTGCAGCCCAGTGCAGCTGGTTCTAGGAGGAAGGTTCCTGTTCCACCTGAAGGCTGGTTACCTGATCTGTGTCTGCCCATCCAATCCTCACATCCTCACCCATAGGCTCCTCTTACATTTCACTGCCCTGCTACAAGAAAAGCCATCTGTTCCCAAGTATCAATAATTAATGCTCCTCCTGCCTCTGCCCCTCCCAATATGACAAATTGTTTGTGATATTGTGGAATGTGAAGAGCAAAGAGAGGATCACATTTCTTTCTCTCCTATTTAATATTAATGGTAGCTGGTAATTGTTAGTCATCTGAGGGTGAAGTTGAAAGGTGAAGGGCATAATAGCTGGCTTGTGTCTTCTGTAGTTGCCTTCAAAGAATGCAGAAATAGAGATTTGCCCCACTCCAGACTGGAAGCACCTGCTTGATGGAAGGGATTTGACATTGCTGCATGGACCTGCATGCAGCTTGCAGATGGGGAAGCTGGCCTGCACTGGCACCCTGTGTCAAACCTTGCCCTTGTATTAGTGAAAGAATACTGACCCAGAGCCAAGATCCACCAAGGATTTGTCTGTTCCATCTGCTCTGACACCCAGAGGTCCAAGAGCATCCACAGGATTTTTCTCAGTGTTTCTTTGGACCTCTGGGATTGTGTCCAGGCCTGGTTCTTCCTGGTCCTCCTCTACATTTCAGCCTCTAAAGGAGCCACTAAAGCAGGCTTTACCTTGAAATTATGCAAGTATCATCTTTGTCCTCTGGTCTGCAGACCCATGGAGGCTGGAGTGCTCATTCCTGGGCAGGGGAATGGAACAGGTTTGCTTAACATGGCATCATCACAGCACTGAAATAACTGCAATGGGATACAGCTGTTCCACCACAATGAACATCCCAGGCAGGAACCCCAGCAGTTTGACCAGGCTTTGGTGGGGCAGAACCTCTATTTCTGAAGTTCAAATCTCTTCAGTGACTGCCAAGCTCCTCCAGCCTGAATGTCTGAAAATGTTCAGTGTTTAAGCCTAGAGAGCAGCTGCAGGGAAGCACTCCAGCTCCACCCTGAAAACATCACTGTCTTTACAGAGGAAATGTAAACACCAGCAGTGTCCTGGGCCTGGAGATGCCACACATGTGTGTGTGGACTGTGGGAGCCTGTTGGGTAATATCCCTCTAGCCCCATCCCTCTCCTTGTATCTGCAGGGCAAATGGGCTTGCTGGTGAGCAGGAGTCCTCTCAGCAAGGTGTGTCACTGATTTACACTTGAGGCTGCTTGACATCTCTCTGGACACCCTTGAAACCCTGTGAGTCATCTCCAAGGAATTTGTTCTGATTATATAAAAAAAGCCAGCAAAATGCACTCACTTGCTCACGGCTGGGTGGAGATGCCTCTCCCATGCCAAGACTGAGGTGATAAAATCTCTGTGGAAATGAATCTGATTTTTCCTGTTGCTCTGTGGCACTGGCAGCTGAATTTCCAAAAGGAGAAACAGGCCTACCCAGTCCATAGTTTAGCCCAGCCTGTGCATTCCCCACAGGAGTAAAAGCTCTCAAGGTCCAAGATTGTGCTGCTATTGCTACCACAGAAACCAGCTGCCTGCACTGAGTCTTCTAGGATCTCCAGCTCCTGAGGGCTGGACAGGCATTTCCTGCCCCAGAAGAAGAGGATCTGCAAGGAAGGAGATGCACTGGAACTCAATCACTGTTACTAGTCAAGGAGAAGTGTACGATCTTGGGACCCTGTTCTGTAGTATGGCTGCAAACATGTGTGGATTTTCCTGTGCTTGGGAATGCTTGTCAGAGTGAATTTCTCTAATTTGGTACTGGATACCTTCTTTACCCTCTCTCCAGGGTAGCTCAGTGTACTCTGGCCAGGGTATGTCCAGGCAGAGCTGGTGGAGGAGACCCTTTTCTGTTGCTCAGTGTGCTCTGGAGAGCTGGAAGCACACTGGGGTGGTGCTCTCAGTTTCAGGTGTGAGCTGGAAGATCAATGCAATTGAAACTGTGCCTCAAGGCCAGTTCTTGTGTGTCTGCACTGCTCCCTGCACAGTGCTGTTCTATAAACTCTCACAGGTGATTTTTCAGCTCCTATCCCATCTCTTTCTTTTAGCTTGCAAAATGCAGAATGGCCAAATGTGTCACCTCTGTTCAGTTACTATTTTCCCTATTCCAAATAACTTTGCAACAGCTTTTGTCCCTTGCCTGCTTCCATGAATGCTGTACAAAAAATTGAGTCTTTGCCAAGGTGTCTGCTCACTTGTTTCTGTTTTCATGGCAATGAATCTATTGGAGTTGGATTTTCATATACTTTATTGGATTTTTATGTCTTGCTCAGGTCCTGTAATGCTTCGTGGCCAAGCACTCCATAAAAATGTATTTTTGTCACAGGTCACTGTCTTCTCTTAATGTAGAAGTGTCATACCCACTGGGAACATAGCGAAGAAAACGTGGAAATGGTGGTGAGGAAAAGGAATAATTTTAAAATAGAGTAAAATAGAAATTATTTAAGGATGGGAAAGTGACTGTTTAGAATAGTAAAAACAGATCCATAAGCAGCTTATGAAACTGAGAGAGCAGGGGGCTGTGCTAAATCATGGGAACGAAGCCCAAGGCAGGCTCCCAGCATCCCTCCTCCATGTGCTCTGCCCCAGCACAGTCTTCCCAAGCCTCATGATCCAGAGGTGAGCTTCCATCCCTGGTCATTTCTTGCAGGAGCAAGAATGTGAGTAAGGAGTTACCTCTGGTACCACACAGGGAACATCCTGGGCTGTTTTCTCAGCTGCAGACTGCCTCATGCACTTAGGAGTGGCAAAAAGGGCGATTCATGTTCAAAGCCAGCCTTGCTCATGCAGAGCTGCCTGCAGTGTTTGTGTCCCACAGTGGAGCTGCTGGCGGGTCTCTT